TCGCATTGTTATCACTTAATTTTGCTCATATACTTATTGAACATGTATTCTTAAACTTAATTTACACATACACACTTTAAACATATGATTGTGGGTTGCATATTGGATTATTACATTATTTATATTCTTTTGTTAAAGGTAACAACTAAGGGAAAAGGGATAGTATGTAATTAAAAAGAAAAAGACAAAAAAGACAAAAAAAAAGAAAAAGAAAAGAAAAAAATGATAATAATAAAAATGTAGATAAGTTTGGTTTCGTAGCCTCCCTAACCTAAGCAATTAAGCCCGAAGGGGTGTTTTAACACCTAATACCCTAAAGTCAACTGACTTGGGAGCTATTGGCTCAACGCTTGTTACATAGGTTGAGGAGAAAAGCTTAAGGGAATTAAACATTGCACTATCTACATATCAGTATTTGTGACCCAAGTTACTAAGCTCGTAGAGGTGTCTTAACACCTAATGCCCTAAGACCAACTGGTCTGGGAGTCATTAGCCAAAAGCTCGTTACATGGGTTAAATATGTATTGTGTTTTAAATTATATGTATTAAAAAAAAAAGACAAAAATAATAATCCCAACCCAAGGAAGTTAACCTTAAACATTATAATAAAATTTTTATTTTCTTCTAAGAAAAGCCCCATAATTATGTGTTGATACATTGAGTACAAAAGAAAGGTTTATGAATATATTGTTAAAAGGTATTGAGTAGGTATATAAATTTAATAAGAGTTTGTTTATCTGGATAAATTAATGGAAGTTAAATGATGACTACTTTGCTTTGTGGAATTTACAAAGTATTTTTCTATTTTAACGCTTTGATTACTAAGGACTAGTAATAAGATAGTTGGGGGGTGTGATTGATACTTAAAAGTGTATTTTTATCAAGGTTTTATATTATCATTTTGCACTTGAAGTATCAATAACTTCTTAACTAAAGCATATTTTATAATAATATATCTAATAATATAAGATACCTTTAATTCATGGTAAATGTTCATTTTAAATGCAGGCTTATCATATAAATGAAAGAATTGATTGATGAATTTAAGAACTAAAATTGGAAGGACAAAGAGATGGCCAAACTTAGAAAAGAGATGTCGGTGCAATCCAAACCGGAACACTGTTCGGTAATTAGGTCATATCTGGAGTTGTAGATCTCAGATTTAGGTCTAATTTATATGGATGGAAAGGTAAGACAACTTTCATATGGAGTCCAAGATCTAAAAAGGTCATTTTCAAGTCCAAATTATAACAACAACAAAGAAGTCTGAATCTGTCTTCCAACCTGAGCACTGTTCAATATTTGGCCCATATTTGGAGTTCTAAAAGTCTAAATGAGCTGAATTTTTTATACAAGAAAGCTGAGACAATTTCCTACAACTTTCATATTTTCAAGTGCCTTCAATTTTGACGTTATCAATGACATTTTGGGCAAACAAGAGAAGATAAGGATTGTCACCAAGTCAAGAGTTGGTCACCCACTCATCAATTAGTCATCAAATTAATAGTTCCCAATTTTGGCCTATAAAAGGAGGCATTTTCCATGCATTTAGGCATCTTGGTTTCCAGATCAAGATCATGCTCTTGCTTTCTCTCTTTGTATTTATTGTAATGTTTATGCTTTGCTTTCATTAATATCAAGTTTATGCCTTTCATTTCCTTTCCTTTACTTAGTTAACTCTTATCTTATTTATGTTATTATTTTGTGTATTTATTTTTCTTTTTTTTATTATGTTTAGCTAAGTTTATTATGTCAAGGTGAAAATGTTACACTAATGGTGTAAGAATAAGTATAGTGTAAACTTAATATGGACTTTAATGTTTGATATTAACATGTTTTGTATTTGGTATCTTGTTCACTCTTTAATACTTTGCTTGTTAAATGACTAATCTTGATTTATGTTGTATAACACTTGGTACACCAAATGCTTGGCACTTTCATAGCCCATACTGTATGGTATAACCGACACTTGAGCTATGAAAGGAACTTGATTTGTTGTTAATATAAGTTATAATCATGAATGCTTGACGAGATTTACAAGTATTAGCATTAATTGAATAAGATGACTAATGTAATCATGTTAATAATCTATAATCTGATTGGAATCTCCTTTGTATGTGGTTTCCAATTGAATAATAAGAGTTTATACTATACTTGTTTGACATACCATTAGTGGATCCTCTAACCTTGACATTGCTTGTTATTATTGTTTAATCCTTACATTAATTTTCTATCTCAAAGTTCTCATCAACTTTTCTTCTTCTTCTTCTTTTCCTTTTTCTTTTTCTTTATTATTGTTATTATTATTATTATTATTATTACTACTACTACTACTACTACTACTATTAATAGTATTATTATTATTGCTACTATTATTATTGTTGTTGTTATTGTTACTATTGTTGTTATTTATAATTTGTACAATTAACCTCCTTGTGGTTCGACCCCGGTCTTGCCGAGTTATTTATTACTTTGACACTCCTGCACTTGGGAGAAATCAATTTTAATGGTGATGTATTGGTGATTCCTTCAAGATATATAAGATAACTCAACCTAATATCAACGATGGTGATATTAGATCGGAAGATATTACAATGAAGTTTAAAAAAATGAAAATTGATTATAGTTTAATAATGAACTAGTACTTTTATATTAAGTAAGACATTGAATCAAGCAATCTCTGTATCAAAACTAAGATTTGTGCGTAAAAATTCAAGATTATAACATTACCTAAATGATTTCTAAAATTTATTTGCAATAATAAAATATTTATTAAGAAAATAAAAAGATAAACATTAAGATTCATTTATGCCTTAAAGAATTCACCTCAATCACCATTATCCTTAATTTGGATCAAAAAAGATATTAGCCAACTATGATTATATATAAGGAAACTTTAATAAACATGAAATAACTTGAATCAAACTAAAATAATAAGTTTTACAAACTAAAAAACTGAAATCTATAAAGAAGAACACAACACAATTTTGTAAAAATTCTAATAAAAATACGATCTAAGTTAACTTGTCTAGCCCATAACCCAGATTATGAATTCCATTGGGTTAAAAACCCTTTTTAAAAATATTTTTCAATTAAATGATAAATAAAATATGTTCACAAAGTTCACATTAACTCATTATTGCAATATTTGTTTAAGATTATAATAATACCATAGAAAGTAAATAGAAAAAAATTATGAAACCTTTTTCAACAATCTAAGTTAACCTTTTAAAGTTGTTGTCCAGATCATAGATCTCATTGGGTTTAATAACTCTATTTTTTCCTTTATACAATAAGAAAATAAGCACTCATAAAATTAAATACTAACTAAATATCAAATCATTTGTTTGAGACCATGATAAATCTAAAAAAAAAGCATGCTAAAACAAATGAGTTCAAAAACAGTCAAATATTTAAATATGCAATTGAGATGAAAAAAATCAATAAAAAATATCTTTTAGGAGAAAAAAAAGTTAGCACTACTAGGTCTTAAGAAAAAAACTCAAGTGTGCTGACTTGATTCATTTTTTTCTTTTTTATAGAGTGGATGACATGATACTTCTTCAAAATTAAAATTAATAGGTGAAACTTTATATATTGTTTCTAGATTTCAAGCATTGTAGGTGGCTAGAATTTTGAAACCTAATTTCAAAGGGTTAAAAAAAAATTTCACTTATTTTTTTAGATAAAAAGTATAAAAAACACATAAGGGACCTTAAAAAAACCATTTCTAGTATTTTAATTAGCTTTTAATTGGTTAACAAACAAAAAATTAACTCGGATCCAAATAAATAACAAGTCATGAACTGTTTTTTTAGCAAGGGAAAATAATTTAAATGAAACTTATCACGCAAAGGGAATCTATTTATACTAGGAAAGATGATTTTTGCCTTTGAATAGTAGTTATTCGTCAACTTTTTCTCACTTTCATCCTAATTTAATGACTCTTTTATTTCTCAAACTTAATGATTAAAATGTGAGTAAAATTGAGCAAAATAAAGTATTAGACCAACTGTTGCATGTTGAAATTAAAAGGATAAAAAAAGATTTTTGACAAATTTCCAAAGGCCAAAAAACCATTAACACATATTCTTTTAAAAAAATGCCCCATAATTTTTTCCTTCTCAAACAATAAAATCATAGTCTTTCTCTTGAAATCGAGCACCAACTCGATACCGAGATATTTTTCAATAATGATATAATCGTGTAAAAGTATATTAAAACAAAATATTAACTCAAAATTCCAATAAACACAGCATTAAAGGATCAAATTAAAAAAAAAAAATAATCAAAGACATCAAAGAAAAAAAAGAAGAAAAAGGACTTGAGTTAACACCATATCATCTTAAAAAATAAAAGTCTGTCATTGTTTTTTTGTTTTAATTTTAAAAATCTGATTTATAATTTTTTGAGAACCCAAAAAATAAATTTCTTTCCATAAAATTAAACATCAATCTAATAATTCCATAATGTTTCTAGAGATTATGATAATGATATAATATACAAATCAAAATAAATTATTAACTCAATATTTAAATAAACACAAGAATAAAAGATAAAATTTGCAGAAAGAATTGACTGGCTGAGATAGAAAAAAAAAACCAAAAGAATTATACTAATAAAAAGTAAAACTCGATGCGAATTTATATTCATGTTCATATTCATATTCATAGTGTTTTGCTTCACAATCTATATTACAGTGTTTCACCGATATCACTTATTCCTTAAAAAAAAAATTAATGTGCTATGTGAATCATTAATTAACCGAATTTATTATTCAACTAAAAACCGAAGCTTTAAACTTTCCTCAGTGATCAATTCGAGATAGCCTAGATGAGGAACCGATGATCGTGGTGTGGTGTTCTTAGGTTCTCCATATTATTATCCTGACATTTTAGAGCAATAAGAGAGTGTTAATGGTGATGGTTTATATTTCAGAGCAATCAAATTTAAAATGAATTAAAGTTGCAATGATTTAATATTTTAAGAAGTTTCACATATTTACAAAAATAAATGGTAAAACAAGGCAAACAGAAATGGCACACACCAGACAAAGCAAAAGTCAAGTGTCAACAAAAGAGAACCAAGTCTTCACGCTTTCTTTTACTCTCTGTTTCTGTCTCTCTCTCTCTCTCCCTCTCTCTCTCTCTCTCTCTCGAAGGGTCTGTGATGGAGCTTCTTGAGGCAGAAGTCCTTGGGCCCGTAGACGCGTCCTTACCAGCCCACGCTCTCTTGCATCTCCTTCTATTATGCGCGTGAAGAATAATCCATTCTTATGATCCTTCTCTGGCGTTTCTGCTCTCTTACCATGATGCCTCCTTTTTCTGGAAAAAAATAAAAATAAAAATAAAAATCGAAGTACAGAACATCACTAGTTCAGAGGGGATGGAATAGAATGTGCTAGGTGGCGAGGCAATGGCTACCTGTAACTAACGGCCATATCCCTCAAGAATTCCCGATAATGACAGCTCGTCTCGTCTCAAACTGTTCGGTGGAAGTCCATCGGAGAAAAATGTTAATTATCTTATATTATTATTATTAAACTTCAAACTTGGGCAAGGTGTTCATGGACCTTCCAACTCCATTTTTTAGGTACTTAAGTTATAAAATTAAACGTGTAGGAGTACGAGAGTTGTGATTTGGTGGATTTAAAGTTAGCCCGAATTAAAAAAAAATATTAAAGATAATATTTTTAGTAACAGGGAAGGATCTGCAGCCATAGTAATGTTATAGCCATGTTATTTTGGATATGTTCTTCGATGAATTTGACTAATTGTGACATAATTACTATAAAAACATATAAATAAAAAATGAGAATTTACAAATTTCAACGAGGAAGACCTTCACAGTTGAAGGGACCCAAAGACTTATTCATATGGGAACCTTCGTGGATTATTAACGAGGTCCAAAGTAAGAAACCGCGCCCTCGTTTCTGCAATCGTCACCTTGGAATCTAAACATGGTAAATATTTTTTATTGTGAAATATATTATAATAATATTTTTTATTTATTTTTTAAAAATTATTGTTAAAATTAATACATCAAAACAATTTAGAATATATAAAAAAATTAATTTTTTAAAAAATACAGTTTACATTCCCTACATTTATTTGTCTATCGCAACCGTGGCTATAGTTAGGTCAAGAAAGACCAAACACAATCATACTTTTTGATCAAATTAATTACTACATAATAATCAAAGAAATTACCTTTCTAAATTTCTCTTCACCTTCATCTCTGACCAGCTAAGCTGCTGTGCCATTTCCAACACAGAGACAAAAACCCTTCCTTGTATCTTCCTTCCATATTACTTGTTTATTAATCCTTGAGCTATCAATCTGTTATCAAGGTTTCTGTAACAAGCAGCAGGACGTACTTGTCTCTGGCTAATTAAGAGGATAGGACTTATTAGGACTGCAGTTTCGATAGTTGATGGAGTTTTTTACCAAAACAAAGGCAGTTAAGCTCCGGAGCCACCTTGAAAAGTACTTGATCGCAGACGAAGACCTAGAAACTGCTCGTCAAACACGACACGGCTCGGCACGCAAAGCAGCCATATGGTTCGTGGAGGTAGTCGATGAAAAAAGCGATGTTATTCGTCTCAAAGGCTGCTATGGCAGATACCTCACAGCCTCTGACATGCCCTTTTTATTAGGCATGACGGGGAAGAAAGTGATCCAGACAGAGCTGTCTGAAAATAATTTTGACAACTGGAAGCTGGAGTGGGAGCCTATAAGAGACGGGTTTCAGGTTAAACTTAAAAGCTGGTGTGGCAAGTTCTTGCGAGCTAACGGAGGGACACCGCCGTGGAGAAACTCGGTGACTCACGATGAGCCACACACTGGTTCGACGAGAAAATGGATTCTTTGGGATATTGAGGCGGTACAAGAGATTGGAAATGATTCCTTGAAGGATTACTTGTCGTCTATGTCGAGCTTTTCTACAGTGTCCGATGATATTCTTGACGCTGTTTCGGATGATTATAAGGGATCGGAAGCCGGGTCTCCGAAATCGGTTGTGTCGTCCGGGAGGACTCCGAGATTGACCCTAGTAAAGTCAATGTCTCCACGATTGTCTTTGTCCTCAACTAAGGTACGTTCTTCTTTTCTTTAAACTCGGTAAATTAAATTTGGTTTAATTATCTTATTTGGAATTTAATTACGTTCATCAGAGATAATTAATTTGAACCTATTTTTCATTTTGTTTCTTAATCGCTTCACTATTCTTCTTCTTCTTCTTCTTTTTTCAAGCTATGCAGAAAATATCTTCCTTTTTTTAAGTTTATTTTTCTTTGTTTAAATTATGCAAAAAAAAAAACCCTAAAACTAGTCACCCAATTAGTCACTAATAACAGATAGAGTTTGGTGATATAATTAAGAGCAAGGTGTAAGTTTTGAGCATTTTTATGAACTGATTAATCATTAAAAAAAAAAAGTATTAATCACCCATGACAGCCCCTTTGTTACTCTATAAGTTAATAGATACGCTACCCAATTCCTAAATTTTTACGAGTTCTTAGGTTGCACTCAACGTAGGAATACTGCATGGTTTTGTGTAGAGTTTTTCCCCAAACAAATTACTTTTATTGTAAAAAATTAAATGATACTTTTGAGCATATTAATTTATCAAATTAAGGTGGTTTTGCGTCTCCTTATCAAGTACGTCAGTTTTTAAAAAGTAGAATAATATTCTAATGAAATTAAACGGATAATATAATGTACTTACAATACAAAAACACATTTAAAGAAAAAAAAAACTCTAAAAATCGCCATCCTTCTGGTCCGTTCTTGGTTATTCCCATTTTAATGAAAATAAAATAATTTTGGAGACTAGAGATGCTGGCAAGTAAATAATTAATTTAAGATGTTTAGAGTATATTTGTTTTTTATTTCAAAATTATTTTTAAAAAAATATAAAAAATCTTATTTTTTATTTATTTTAAATCAATATGTTTTTAATGTTTTAAAATTATTTTAATATACTGATATTAAAAATAATTTTAAAAAAATAAAAAAATTATTAACATATATTTTAATATAAAAATTTATTTAAAAAACAATTATAATTATACTCTAAAAAAATTTAAAAAATATTAAAAAAAAGATAAAAAGAGATGTAGATTTAAATCATGAGTGGATAATTAATTTGTGATACTTAATTAATTCGGAATAAATTTAATAGGATGAGTATTTACTTGGTATAATTCTAATGTAAAAAACATTTAAAATTTTTATTTTTTTTTATTTTTTTATTTTTTTTAATATGAGAATTGATTTCTTATTATGTGGAAAAAAAAAATACTCTTCAAGATACTCCATTTAAGAAATATAATTGTAACTCATAAATATTTGTTTTTTAAAATTATTATTAATTCAAGTATATTAATTATAACTCCTAAATATAATTTAAATTTTAAATTTTTTTTTAAAAGATGATTAATTCAAGTATATTATAAATTTTAAAATTATTAAATATTTATTTAATTATTAACTTTGAGATCTGGAAGATTCGAATAAGACACCCAGTTATTAAAAGAAAAAAAGACGATAAGACGCAAAATCACCCTTCCACGCTACAAAAAGGTGGTCTGAAGAAACAGGAACAGGAACAGAAACAGTAGTGGAAGAAAGAAAGGGGCCCTCCGCCCCACTGATTATGAATTGGTCACCTTTGCACTCCTTCATTTCTGTCGTGGCGCTTCCTTAGCGCCACTGATTAGGTTGGTTTACGTCTTAGTCACGAATTGGAAAATGATAGGCAATTGCAGTGCGTGCACGCACTTCTTCATCTGATGTCCAAGTGCTTCAACGGATGAGATTAACGACACCCACAACTAAATAAATAAGAATTAATTAATTAATTAAACCCTGATGGGTGTGCTTCAATTGCCCTAAACCACCTAAAAAAAAAAAGAAAAAGGGGGTGTGTGTATTTTTGTTCCTCTCTCTGAAACCCTATCCAGATCCTGCAATCTCTTCCCATCAATTCTTCTCTTCGTCTTTAGTGCTTGAAAAACAAACTCACACCGAACCAGATATATTATTTTACCCTCTCATTTTCTTATAAAATCACTCCTGGTTCCTTAAAATCATCGTCTTTGATGTGATTTTGATTAAATTAATAAGAGTGAAGGTGAGGTTAACGGGTGAGTGAAGAGAGAGGAGATAGCAGCATATTGAGGTTCAATATAAGGGGAATGAAGGTGAGGTTAACGGGTGAGTGAAGAGCATATTGAGGTTCAATATAAGGGGGAAAAAAAAAAAACTGAAACAGAGAGAGACTGCGGGGTGAGTTAGAATTAGGCTTCATAACTATAACTGTTGTTTCTTAAATTTTTATTTTTTATTTGGAATTGTATAGAAATAATATTATTTTTATTTTTTAAATTTAGTACTGACATAAAAATATAAAAAATATATATATTTTTTAATTTTTAAAACATGAAAACAAACAAACTCTTAAAATCATGTAAAAATTTATATATATCACTGGTTGAGGCCTTGATTGTTTTGGGATAAAAGAGATTACATTTTTGTTTTTTTATTTGTCTTGAAATATTAACTTAATCAATTAGTTTTTAAAATTAAAGAAATTACTTAATTTATTTCTTAATACTCAAGGAATATAACTTACTCAGAACCGCAAATGAATCTGACAGAAGACTGAGAGGGGAAGGGCTGCATGCCCTGCTCTTTCCGGAGGCTCCTTTGATTTTGTGTTTTAAAATTGCTATTGAAAACTTTTTATTTTTTTTAATTTATATCATTTTTATATTAATATATTAATGTGAAAAATAATTTTAAAAAAATAAAAAATATTACTTTAATATTTTTAAAAATAAAATAAAAATAATCGTTGTTACATTCCTAAACTAGCTACTGATAGAGATAGAGAACCAGGACGTGAAAAGTCACAATTCATGTGACATGGTCCCTGTTTAATTAATGATAAAATGAAATGAACAACTGAATTTAAGAAAAAAAAAATTTGATAAAATTTAAAAAGTATTCTTAAATATTAAAGATGTTCATTTTAGATTCAGTTCAATTTTAATAAAAAAAAAGTAATCAAGTTGAAATTTAAAAAAAAAAAATAGTTCAAATTGAAATGGCTTTGTTTTGGCTTAATTTTTTTAAAATTTTTTCAATTTGAATTATATTTGGTTTTTTTTATTTTAAGTTTATAAAATTAAATTAAACCATCTGTTTTTTTTAATTCTAATCAATTTTTTTATAATTTAATTTTTTATTTTTATAATTTAATTAATTTCTCAGTTTTTTTCAAACCCCTACATAATACTTGGTAATATTTGCATTGGGGACGCAAGGAAGCTTCAGGTGAAATGCGAATCCAGAGGAGAGATTAAAATAAAGTACACGGTCAAACAAGTCGACTACTCCGGATTCCCAGTACACTCTGCTAATAAAATAATATCTCTCTCTCTCTCTCCAAGTTGATAAGACCGAGTTAAAGGGGGAAAAATTAGATATATTAAATTATTTTTTTAATAAAAACAAACATGAATCTTTATTCTATCACTTAGATTAAGTTAAAATTGTCACGGCATTTCACATGTGTTTTTTTTTTTTTAACAAAAAATCAACTGGTGAATCTGGAACCCATCTAAATTAGATCCAGAGATACTGATTAAGATTTTTTATTTTATTAATTAGGTTTAAGTTTCAAGTGTTTATTTAAATAATTTGTAATTTATTTTCAAAGTGATTTTAAACTTCCAAAACAAATAAAGTTATTTTTTTTATAGAGCCGGTAATATTTAGCATTGTGGTTGAATTTTATTTTTAAATATTTTTAAATTTTATTTTAGCTTAAAACTATTTTTTGTGTATTTTTTTATGTTATTTTACTATATTAATATCAAAAATATTTTAAAAAAATATATAATTTTAATTAATTTCTAAATAATAAAAAAAAACATTTTAAAAAACTAATACTACCCTTCCCATCGATCACGGAACCTGAACTGATGTCCGAAAATCGACCAGAAATCATGACTGGCGCGAAAAGGCCACGTAATTGCCGTGTCCGAAACACCGTAGCTGCCTGAAGCTGACCGTTTACTCTTAATTTAAAAACTATTTCAACACCCATCCCTTTCCACTTGCAAGCAGAACAGATCGAAGAAAAACCCAAGAAACCAAAACAAAGATCTAGCACAGCACCACTTCTCTCTTATCCTTAACTTCACCTACGACTCTTCGTTAATAACTAGTCTTTTTCTTCTTTTGAACAACTTTTCGCAGACCAACTCCAACAATTTCCGGTCA